GTGACCTCGGCCTTCATCGACCACTTCGGCTTCAACGACGAGGAATTCGGGGAGCAGGAGGAGAGTGTCAAGTGTGTGTCTGCCCGGAACACCCCCCCCACCCCCGCACCCGCTGCCCCACACTCGCTGATGGGGTGCACTGGGGAACAGGGCCACTAGGTGGGACCAGATCCACCTTCTCTGCTGTGGGCCAGGAGCCAGGACTCCTGGGTTCTCGCCCCAGCTGTGCCATGGCTCCTGTCGGTGCCGCGCCTTTTGGGGTGACCCCCCCCCGGCTCATTCACACTAACTGGGGGTTCTGCGCAAACGAACCCCTGTGCTTTCCGGGGGGACGCTGAATGTGTGCGTCTAACCCAGCTTTGCACGCGGTATCCCGTCGGCCCCCCTGCCTCCCCGGGGACCCCCATGTGGCGGGGGGCTGTGTGACGAAGTGGGGGGGAGTCCGGGACAGGCTGACACCCCATAACCCCTCTCCTTGGCTTCCTGCCTCCCCGGAGACCCCGCGTAGAGCAACAGGGTAGCGTCACATCAGACCCACCCCACCACCACCACTGCCGCCGTGGGGCCAGGGTGCTGGCAGTAGTGCCCCCTGCCTGTTGAGCAGCCCCCCCCCTCGGTGTGGGGCACCCCAGCCCCCCCGCAAACCCCTCTCGGCTTCATGTCTCTGCTTCTCTTTTTCTCTCCGCTGCCTCCAGCGCCCACTTCCGCCAACTCAAGAGGTAACAACCCCCCGCACCCCCCTCCCAGACCCCCGGCAGGGGCATGTGACAGCAGCCGGACCCCTCCCCATCCCCAAGAGCAAGGGGGTGGCGAGGAGAACCCCATTTCAACCCCCCCGGCCCTTTCAGGAAATCCCACCATCGGGGACTCAGCTGGGCACGGCTCCAGGCAGCGCAGGGTTAACCGTCCCAGCAGCCCTTGGGGCCCCAACTGCCCTCTGCACCCATGGGCAGTTCCCCCCCCCCCCCCCCCCCGCTCGGGCTGGCACCCCCTTTCCTAGCACATGGGAGGGGAGTGGGGTCTGGTGGTTAGAGCGGGGGCGGGGCTGGGAGCCAGGACTCCTGGGTTCTCTCCCAGCTCTGGGAGGGGAGTGGGGTCTGGTGGTTAGAGAGGGGTCTAGCAGCAGCCCCTCAGCTGCTGGTCTCTTCCCAATGCTTGTGGTGGGGGTGGCCAGCGGCACCCCCCGTTTGATGCGGGCTCGGCCCCCTGTCATGGTGCGTTCTCCGTTCCAGCGCCCCCTTCGACAGGACGGGCAGCCTGAGCTTCTCGCTGAGCGCCGACGACGACAGTGTGAGTGCTCCCCACCCCCGATGTCCCCCTGGCTCTGCGTCCCAACCCTACTGCCCCCCTCACCACCTTCCCTAGCCCCGCATCACCCCCCGCCCCGCCTCTGCTGTGCCCTCTGCCCTTCTCTTAACGCCTGCGCCACCCTCCCATGGTGCCCCCCATTCCCAGCATCACCTCGCCGAGCGCCGATGACAAGCGCATGAATGTTCCCCCCGTGGCCACCCCCTTGTCCCTCCCGTCGTGCCCCCAGCCGGCGCCCTGACTCTGTCCCCTTCCCCCAGCCCAACTCCAACCTGTTTGAAGTCTGCTACAAGGAGCGGATCCAGCAGTTTGATGATGACGACTCGGACGGGGAGGATGCCTGGCAGGAGAAGGAGCTGAGCTACTCGGGGGGCCCCTCGCAGCCCGCAGGGCCCAGGTACTGGCCCCCAGTGACTCCAGGGGGGTAGGCACGGGGCCTTCTGGTCTCGGGGGCAGCCAGGATGCCTGGGTTCTCTCCCTGCCTCTGGGAGGGGAGTGGGGGCTAGTGGTTGGAGCAAGGGGGGCTGGGAGCCAGGACTCCTGGCTTCTCTCCCCAGCTCTGGGATAAATACCAGGTTGGGTGAGCTCATGGATCTGATCAGGGATGGCAGGGAGGGGACGGGATACCAGGGTAGATGGGCCCATGGCTCTTATTCAGGGACAGGGAGTGACGGGATACGGGGTAGATGGGGGAGTGGGGGAGGGGGATACCAGGGCAGATGAGCCCGGGGGGGCTGATCTGGTGGGCGGGGGGGGACGGGATACCGGGGTAGATTGGCCATGGGGCTGATCCTGGGGAAGGTGGGATACTGGGGTAGATGGGCCCATGGGGCTGATCCGGGGGTGGAGGAGGTGGGATACCAGCGTAGATGGGCCCGTGGGGCTGATCTGGGAGGTGGGCGGGAGGCCGGGGTTGATGGGCCTGTGGGTTGGGTCTGGGGAGGGTGCGGGATACTGGGGTCGATGGGCCCGTGGGGCTGATCCGGGGGCAGGGAGCAGGTGGGATACCGGGGTAGATGGGCCCGGGGGGCTGATCCAGGCCCATTCTCTCCCTGCGGCAGGAGGGGGTGGGGGGCTGGCTCTGGGTGGGGTGGTGGTGTCTATGTAATATATGTAAATTAGATGGTGCATATTCATTAAACATGCAAATCAATGCCTCACTTCCTACTTTCGGGTGGTGGCCAGCCCAAGCCGCTGCGCCCGGTGGGTGCCGGTGTTGCCCGCTGGCACCAGGCAATCGGAGCAACGGGCCTCTGCCCGGCCCTGACCCCGCTCTCTGCTCTCCCTTCTCAGGGGGCAGCCCTGACCCGGAGCCTGCAGAGCCCCCAGCTCCGCTCCCCCCCAACGGCGGGGTGGACACCGGGGTGGCTGTGTGGGACAGGCCCGGCTCGGACACCTCCCGCCCCCCCACGGAAGGGAGCTGGGCCCTGTTTACAGACACCCCAGCGCAAACCAGGTGAGACCCAACCCCCTCCGCCCCCCCGCAGGGCGGCCTCATCTTCATTGGCCTCGGGGGGGGCACCAGCTGCTGTGGAAGACGGGATGCCGGGGTTGATGGGCCCGTGGGTCGGGTCTAGGGAGGGGGCAGGAGGCCGAGGTCGATGGGCCCCGTGGGTCGGGGAGGGAGGCCAGGGTCGATGGGCTCGTGGGTTGGGTCCGGGGAGGGGGCGGGAGGCCGGGGTCGACGGGCCTGTGGGTCAGGTCCAGGGGTCGATGGGCCCCGTTGGTCTGGAACGGGGAGGGAGGCTGGGGGTCGAGGGGCCCATGGGTCTGACCCAGTTTGGGGCGTATTTCTGCAGCCCGTCAGACGCCCCGTCAGGCTCTGCCCAGGGACCCCACCCTCAGGAACCGACAAGCAGCAATGTATCTTTGGGGGGAGGTGAGTGTCACCGCGGCAACCTGCCCCCCCTTCCCCCCAGCATTGACCCCTGGGCTGTGAGCCCTGGGGTGGCCGTGGGAGCGGGGCGGGGGTTGCATCACCCTTCCACCACCGGCCCCTGCGGTGGGGGTCTTCCTCGGGGGGGGGCAGGGGGATGGATCTTGAGCCCATGGGTCTGAGCTAAGCCGGGGGAGGGTGTCTGGGCCCGTAGGTTTGATCTTGGGGGCTCTGGGGGTGAGGGTGGCTGGGCCTGTGGATCTGGGCTGGGGGGAGGTTGGGCCCATGGGGCTGGAGGGGGGTGGGGGGGCAGAACGACCACGTTGGTGGGCCCCTAACGCCCCCTCTCTCCAGCAGCCCCCCCGGAGCCCCCCCGTGCGGGATCACCCTGCGAGAGCAGCGACCCGGCGCCGAACGGCCAATCGGCACCTCCGCCCGCCCCCGCCGCAGCCAGGCCAAAGTAACGCCGGGGGCGAGGGGGAGGGTCAAACGCGGGGTGCCAGCGCCCATGGGGGGGGGAGGGCGGGGGGAAGGGTGCCCTAGGACATGGCTGAACCCGGGGGTGGGGCTTGTGGGGTGGGGGAGGAGCCAGCCCTGGCCCCACCCCTCACCCAGCTGTTTCTCCCCCCCAGCACGGAAGGGGCCCCCCTATCTACCTCCGACGCCAGCCAGCGGCTCCCGGGGGCCGCGGCCGCCCCGAAGGCGGAAAACAGCGCCCCCCTTAGGCAGCAGCAGCCAGCAGCCAGGTGAGCTCTGACCCCTCCCCCCCTCCCCCTGGAGGAGCGCTCAGCCGGTGGGGGGTCAGCTCGATGGGGGGCTGCCTGGTGGGAGGGGCTCAGTAGGGGGGATCCCCCTCAGGATCGGGGGGGGCGCTCAGCCTGTGACCCCATCAAATCCTGTGCATGGGGGGGTGTTAAATTGGCCTAGGCTGGGGAGATGGGCCCTGGGTTGGGAGGTCCGGGCAGACGGGGTGGGGGGGTCCCCAATTTGGGAATGGGGGGGGCGATGGAACAGTGATGACCCCCCCCCTTGTCTGTCTCTGTCTCCTCCCCAGATAAAGCTCACAGAGGGCGCCTGGGGAAGCTGCTGATCGTGGGGGGCTGGGGGGAGCCCCCCCTCCCGGAGCCCGGCCCGCCCAAGGAGAGCCCATTCCCGCGGGTGGGGGCAGCATAGGACGGGGGGGCACAGTCCTCTCCATCACAAGATGCTTATGGCGAGACAGCTGAGCCCCCCGCAGGCAGGCTGGTGTGAGCCCCCCCGGCATGGCCCCCCCACCCCCCCCTTTTTTGCACTGAAATCGGCGGCAGGGCGACAGAATTCAAAGCGAATCGTTGGGAGAAGTGACTCTGGGAAGCACTAACCCCGCCCCCCCCGCCGGCCCCCACTTCCCATGCCGGCCCCCCACCGTGCTTCCAACCCCCGAGGTTAGCTGCCCCCCTCACAGCCTGCCCCACCTCCCCCCTCTGCTCCCCTGGTGGCCAGGCACGGGAAGGGGGGCCCCTCCCCACACAGATTAGATTTTAAACCCCCCCCCCCCCTGTTCCAGCATAAGCACAACACCAACTCTACCCCGCCCCCCCCCGTCGGGTCCAGGGCCTCAGCCAGGGGTGGGGCTCTGCCCCCCCCAGAGCCCAGCTTAGTTGTGGGGGGGGGGAGAAATGCTGGAGGGAGGGGGGGGGGCGGAGGGTGGACATGGTGGGCGGGACTAGGAGCTGTTGGGGGTGGGGCCAGGGGGAGTGTTGGGGGCGGGGTTGGGCATGGGTAGGTGGGGCCCATGGGGAGGGGGTGAGTGTGGTGGGTCGGGCTGGGGGTGTGGGGGGGGGGCACTACAAGGGAGGGGTGGAACTCAGGGCTGTGGGATAGATCCGTGTCCCTCCCTCCCCCCGGCTGGTTCTGACCCCCTTTTAACCCCATGTTTTCCGCTCCCCCTTGTTATTTATTTCCCTGGCCTGGGGGGCTGGAGCTGCCCCATCTCCCCCAAGCAGAGGTGTTGGGAGGCAGAGATGGGTCACGCCCCAGGAAACAGCACCAGCCGGTCAGAGTGGAGGAAGGAACAAGTAGTTCCCCTCCCCGCCCCCCCCACCCGGGTACTTTTCAAGTGGGGGAGGGGATGCGAACAGCCCACAATGCACCTGCCCTTTTGGACACCTTCCCCCCTCCCGACTCAGTGGCCTCCCCTCCTGGATCCCACTTCTCACACCAGCACTGGCTCAGACCACAGCCCATCTGCGGGGGAGCAGAGCCGCCTGCCCCCCACCTCCACAGGGACCACAATGGTGCCTGGACCTCCAGCTGTCTCCCCCCCCCCCGGCGGAAGGTCTAGGAGGGCCCCAGTCCAACCCCCGCTCTGATGGTCTCCCCCTCCATTTGCCCCTGCAGGGGAGTTAACTCTTTGTCCCCCCTTCCCCACAATTGGGGGGGGGGGTATCTGGGTACCGAGGGGCAGCTCCCTCCCCCGTGGTAGGGGCCTCAGGTCCCTCAGCCTCCCCAAACCCACCCTGTAGCAAATCTGGAGGGGGGGGCATACGGTACAGAGAGGGGGTCTCTTTCCCTCCCCACCTCAGGGGATTTGGGGCCCTTCAGGAGTGGGGGAAGGTTTATGGGGACCTAGGAAGTTCCTTGCCCCCATAGCTCAGGCTGTAGGGCATGGGGGGCTAGGGGTCCCCCACCAATCAGCAGGTGTCAGCTGAGGGGCTGCCCCCCCATTGCCCCCTCCACACTGATCTTCCCGGCCTCTCCAGAGAGGTTCTGCATTGCACTAGTTTTGGGGGGGATCCCAGGTGCTTGGGGGGGGGGGGGCGAGGCTGGAAGGGAGGCGTGGGGTCTGATCCTCTCCCCTTGCACAAAGAGACTTTGAAACAACACCCCCCCCCCACCCCCGCACGGCCCCTGGCTGGGGGGAGACAGGGCCAGACGCCAGGCCAGATGGGCCTGCGACGCACCTTTCTCCTTTTTAAAAGCACTGAATTCCCCCCCCCGCCCCCCCGGCCCCCTCCCAAAGTCAGCAGTAGCCAACAGTGATGTCCTGGTAGCCATCCCCCCTCCCCCGGCTACCCCTTTAGTGGCAATATTTAAAAGCTCTTAAACAGGAACCAAATCAAGTGGCCTTTTGGGGGTTGGCCCGGGGCCTCCCCGGCCGGCGACCATCCCCCCTGTTTCGTGGGTCCCCGGCTCGTCTCTTTTGTTATTTCGGATGAAAATAAAAAACAATGGTTAAAGCCTGAGCGTGCCGCGGCCTCCTTCCTGGGGGGCGGGGGGCAGCGCGCCGTGGGGGGCCCAGCCCCAGGGATTGCACCCAGGAGCCCGGTCTCCCAGCCCCCCTGAGCCCCACTCCTCCCAGCAGCTGCCTCCCTGTTATCAGCTGGTGCTGGGTGGGGATGAGGCGGGAGAAATCGATTTTATGTCTCTTCCCCCCCACACACCCCCCGCTGCCGGTCTTATCTCTGGCTCTGTTGAACCCACGGGAGATGAAAGTCCAGGCCGGTGCCTGGAGTTGGAAGCAGCAGCCAGGGTGCGTCCCAGAGCCGCCGGCCCGGAGCCCCGGCCCCTCACCATGGACATTCTCGAGACGGACGCCCGCTACCGCCGGAACATTGCGGCTGATGTAAGGAGGGGGAAACTGAGGCACAAAATGGGGACAAGTGGTGGGGGGCGGAGACTGTCAGTGGCGTGGCTCCCAGTTCCCTTCCCCCAGCCCTGCTCTAAGCCACTAGGCCCCACTCCACTCCCAGAGCTGGGAAGAGAACCCAGGAGTCCTAGCTCCCAGCCCCGCCCCCCCTGCACTCAACCCCAGTGTCCTCCGTGTGTCATTGTGCTGCTATTATGGTTCCTGGGACTGAGCCGGTAAATCAAGGTGGGATTTCCCTGCAGCTGTTTCCATTTGCATCGTTTCCGGTAGCCCGCCTGAGCTGGGGGGCCGCTGCTGGGCCCAGAGGGGAAGGGAACCGGGGCTGGTAGCAGGATCAGCGTGGATAGCCCTGATCGCAGTGACGGCCTGGGTGACCTTGAAGGCACAATATCAGTAGGTTTCAGAGTTAACACCCTGTTGGTGTGAATGGGGCAAGCTCATGGCAGAATTGAGGGACAATTAGGAGCAAAGTTAGCTGCCTCTTCCTGCCCAATCTCCTGGGGATTAAATATTTAACAAGGGGCTAGCGCCAGCTGGTTTCAAAGTTAAAGCTGCTACTTTGGCATCAATAGGAGCAGAACTTCACCCTTCGATAAAGCAGCATGAACTTGCTCTTCCTGCTAAACGGTGAAATAGTTGTTAAATTGTGCCATTGGTAGGTTTCAGAGTGAAAGCCCACTAGGGTGAGTGGGCCTGGGCCCAGTGTTTACTTTGGGCGGGTGGATGTTTTAGGGTTGGTGTAGTGCCTGGGTTCAACTGGAAATTCCTGGGGAAAACCTAGCTCGGCTATGAAACTGGAAAGTTGTGGTTGAAGCGATGCTGGCAGTAGCTTTTGGAGTTCACACACAGCGCCAGGAAAGAGGGGCTGGATCAGGAATGGGGTCAGGGATAGAGCAGGCGTAGCGGGATGTTGCTGTGATTGCTCTGGCAGCTAAATTACCAAGGACGATGTGTTACATGAGAGCCGTAGGTTTCAGAGTTAACACTTCATTGAGGTGAATGGGGGGGGGTCACTTCCCAGCCCCACTGGGAGGAGGAGCCAGGAGATGAGACGAGTCGATTTAGCTGGGATATCTTGGTGGGAAAATAGTTAATAAGGCTGGTCTCATTTGGGTTATCAGTAGGTTCCAGAGTTCACGAAAGAGTCGTAAAAAGGGAGTTAAGTTCCCAATTCCAATAATTAGAAGGCCATAGACAGTAACTCCTCACTTAACGTGGTCGTTACGTTCCTGAGAAATGCGACTTTATGCCAAACGATGTTAAGTGAATCCAATTTCCCCAGAAAAATTAACGTCAATGGGGGGTTCGGTTCCAGGGAAATTTATTTCTCCAGACAAAAGCCGCAATAGACGGAGACAGTCGAAGTCTGAAACAATTGAATACTGGACCCAGCGACGAATGATTGTGAAGCCTGGGAGAGGTTGGGGGGTCAGAGGGTGGATATTTCCCGGGGGATGCCTGGCTGCTAAACGATGAACTAGCCCTCGGCGGAGCCCTCAAGGGTTAACACGCTGTTGTTAATGTCGCCTCACACTCTACAAAGGCAGCGGGGGGGGGGGAAACATGATAGACGCCGGGGGGCAGTGACTGCAACCCCTGACCCGGATGATGGGCCCCTGCCGGAGCCGACGACTCCCTCCTCCTGTCCTGACAGTGCCTGCCCGGCCGCACAGGCGCTGACTTTCCAAAGTGCTGGGGGGAAGGGGGGGGAGAGAGATGTGTGTTGCCCCTTTAAGTACGCTCCCCCCCACTTCAAGTACATTGCCCTTTTAAGCAGATCAGACAGGAAGCAACAGCTCCCAGCATGCTCCCCCTGCCCCCCCCTTCTGTCCCCGAGCCCTGTCCCCTCCTTTGCCTTGTGGAGAGGGGGTACAGCGCGGGGGGGGCAGGAGTGGGGGGACATCCTGACATCTGCACCCCTCTCCCCCCCGCACAGCAAGCAGGGGCAGTGGGGGGAGGGCCCCCTGAACCGGTGCTGGGCACCTGCCGAGCCGCATCCCTTGCAGGGAATTTAGGGGAGCTGATAGGGGGGCCCCTGGTTCTAATCCCCACGAGGATCCCACAAGCAGTGCGCAAAGCAGGCAGCTGCCAAACGACCTCATGAGGGAGCATTGCGCAAGTTTAAAGGAGCCTGTTCCCTAATCAGCAACGTACCGACGTTAACGGGGGCAGTGTTAGGTGAGGAGTCACTCTGCACTGGGTTATCGATAGGTGAGCCAGGGATCCGCGTTGATTGTATTCAGTTGGATGTCAGTAGTTTTCAGTGTTAACACCGTGAAGTAACCAACAGGTTCCTTTGGGTGTTGGTTACGACAGATTATCGTTAGGTTTCGGAGTTAACCTAGCAAAATAACTGCCCAGACCCAATTTATAAGAATCGATATGTCTGTTGTTTCCCCCGTTAACTCTGAAACCGAATGACACCCCATTTCCCAACCCTGGTGTGTCGGTAGGTTTCAGAGTGAACACGGTGAAATAGCCAGACTGTACATTACTATGGACTCATGGTGTGACAGTTAATACGATGACCGTTAACAGGCTCGCGCTTACAGAGTAGGTCATCAGTAGGTTTAAGAGTTAACAGGTGTGACAATTAGCTTTGGAGCATGGGTAGTCCTCAGAGTTG